CAACCTCTCCAAAATTCCCTTAGGGTCAAGTGAGTGTCTGGGGTCACATCAAGCACCTTGAAACATTGTTTTTGTGTAGAGTTTTTTAAAGTTTGCAAAAACCTGGGGGGCCGGGGGTTGGGGAGAGGAGTGGTTTTGGGGGGCAAGAATTTACTGTGATGAACCCAAACTCCTTAAAATTGGGTCCCCAAAAGTTTGGAGGATGAAAGCAGGTGCTTTGTCCTTACAGCACGCACTTGGATCCAATTTTTTTTCCCAGGAGATACCCTTACACTACCAAACACTTCATTGAACCACCAAACAAAAATTTCCCTCGTACCCATGCCTTACTATTAGTTTTCCCAAAACACAAAAAATTATCTTCATAACATTTTTTTTTTCCGAACACTCGGGGGTTTTTCGAATGGTAACTAGAAAATGGCTTCATTTTTGAAATCCCCCCCTAGCTTACACAGAACAACGTCACCTGTTTTTCAAGGTTTGTGCCCTGGATTCCTTTCCTCTTGTGAAATGAAGGTCCTTTTTGGCATTTTTTTCCCAAAAGAGGCCTTTTTCGTCAAATTGAACCTTTTTCAGGTTTAGCCCTTCACCTCTTGTCTCCTGAATTAGCACAATTTTCAGGCCTTGTGGTCCGAACTGGCAGCCTCCCCTTGCCTTACCACACTGTGTATCCCATAGGTTCAAAATCTCCAAACCAGCTTTGCGGGCCCTTAAAATTCACTCACTTCCCCACTTTTTGCGGGAAATTTTTTTAAACCAAAATTCTCTGCAACTGCCTAGCCTTTTCACAAATAAACGAAGTCTAAGATATCTCCTGCAATTTTTTTCTCATTTACCCCCCAATAATAATTCTCAACCTCTTCCAGTACGGGTGATCTCTTTTTTGTCAGCTATTACTCCCTTTGCAACAACAGCACCTTTATTTAATTTTTCTTGGCCACTATGGAACATAAGGTTGTTGGGTTTTTTTATACATCCTGGACCTTCGGGCCACACTTTGTACCATTTTTTTATTGTTCAATGATGGTTTTTTTAAAATTTAATGATTTTCACCTTCTTTACCACAGCTTTACTAGGGGCTTTCTTTGGAGCCAGGTAGCTTATTTAGTACAGGAAGGCCCCATTTCGGCGGGTTAGGTTCCAGGCTAGCCCCGTAAAGGGGGAAATCGCCGTAAAGTGGAAAAAATCCCTTTTTTTTTTTTTTTCCCTTAAAACATACAAACACTAGTAACAAAAATTTACACTAACTTATTAATTTGCAATAGAACCCGGGGATCAAAAAAAAAAAAAAGGTAAAACACACATGTGACTCATTACTTACCTTAAAATATTTTTAGCCCCTTAATCTAGGGGGACAAGTAGATTTATTGTAAGAAATCAAGTGTGGTTGTTTGTAAAGGCGGCTTTTACCAGGCCACCCACCCAACTACTATTCATGATTTTTAAACACCCCAGAGCGATAAAATGTATATACAGTTCACTCATTACTTCCCTTAAAATATTTGTAGCCCTTAATGTGGGGTCAGGAGAAAGTAAATGAAAAACAATAAAGGGAAGAAGAAAGAATGAATACATAGGGTGCAGGCCAGGCAAGAGAAAAACAAACCAGGCTCCCCATCTTATATTTAGTTTTTTTATTCTTTTGTGGGTGTTTTATCACTTTTTTTTAGTTCGTGTTTATTAATAATTTTAAAAAAAAAATACGGGGCGGTTAATGAAAAGTGTATTTTACCGAATTTTACGACATTTTAATGACTCCGTGATATTGTTATTATGGCGCACTTGGAAGTCGTCTGCAAACCGAGATCACAAAAGTTTATTTATTCCGTGGGGTGTATTTATCTTATTTTTATGTTATGTTGTGTTTTTTAAAATTTAATTTTAAAAAAAAATATAAATTGGGTTAAAAAAAATTTTTAAATTACCGAATATACATTTTTTAATGAGACCAGTATTGTTATATCCCCTTTTGGGGAAGTCGTTGCTACACAGCTCACTTTTTGTTTTTTATTTACTGGGGGTGTTTTTTTTCTTATTTTTTATTGTTATGCATCGTGTTTATTATATAATTTTGAAAAAAATATCATGGAGGATTAATTGAAAAATGTGTATATTAACGTAATATACGACATTTAAATGACTTGATGTATGTAAGTTTATTTAGGTACAGGTATACATAAGTATAATTATCAGAGTATATATAAAATATGAAATAACTTTTAAAAACATTTGAAATTTTGGAGTTTCCAGACAAAATGGAGAGACTTAGTGCTTACTGAGCTCATGGAGAATGTAAACAAACAGGGTGGGGCACGGTGACGGTATTAGAAAGTCAGGTGGGGGGAGCCGTATAGTGAGTTTTGGTCATAATTTGAAATGTCCGTATTAGCGGAACGCCGTAAAGCGGAACGCCGTAAAGCGGAACGCCGTAAAGCGGGGCCCTCCTGTACTTGCAAGCACTAAAATAAATGGAATATTATGAAATATTTCGCTGGAGCACGTGAGGGGACCTTCGCTCACTGGTAAACAATGCCAGACTGGCTGCCTCCCTGGCTCACGCCGTGCATACACGTCCCAGACGAACTACGACTCGCGAGTCAACCTATGAAAAGCAAGTCCATGTTTAACGAAAATACCCCTATGATTGGAGAATTTTACGATTGCCGGGAACTACGAAAAGCGGGGGACCACTGTAGTATTTTAAGATAGAACATAATTATGACTTAGTAAAAGAATTTAATTCATGGGGAAGAAGGATTTAGATGTTTAGTGAAAATCTAGAGCAAAATTACTTTATTGAGGGAAGATTATATTAAGAGAACCTATTTATATTTTCGTGTAATAAATAAAGAAATGCAGTACTGAGTGATGAATAATAATTATAATCAAAGTTCACATTTTATGCAGTGGCTCTAAGCACTATACTTATTTGGAACATTTCTACAATAAAACTATTTCATAGAGGATTAAAGGATTGCATAAAGTATTGTAATGCATGAAAAAAAATAATTGTGTGTTTGATACAGTAGGCCTATTTACTAATCATTGACATGACAGGTGATGGTAATTGTGGACAGACTGTCAATATAGATTTCTAAATGCAAGCAAGGTGTTGTCAAGGGTAAACATGAATTCATAGTAAAATGACCATTAGACAAGTACTATATTGTTGAATGGCAAGACTTGCTGACATATAAGGTAAAAAGACACTGTGCATAGCAAACCATAATTTCGCATCTGTAAATAAAGGTTTGATCTGCATATATATCCTTTTACTAAGCACTATACTGTTATGGTCCTGTTACTAATGTCAGACAAGGAATGTCATACAAGGGACACATACAGTGATGCCTGTGGTGCTGGTAGTAATGGACAGTAAGGGACACAGAACATACAAAGAGACAAAAACAATGGTGCTGGCGGTACTGGTGGTGCGGTGATGGGTCTTTAAGAAAGCATTCGCTCTAATGAGTGAAGAAATTATGCTTGGGTGTTGTACAGGTAAGAACAAATTTTTCATGATTGGTGCATATACTGGAGTTTTTTTTAAATGCATATATTATATATTCATTATCCTTGAAAATATTCAAGTTAGCAAATTTTAATTTACTGAACATACGTATTTTAGTAATATATTTATCCATAATCGGATGAGTTCCTGTAACTATATGAACAGATTTCAAGAAATGATTGTTGCAGTGGCACATTTTGAATGAATTGGTATTTATTCTTTTTCCTGGCAGCATCTGAGTCAGTACAAGAGAAGTCTGTGACAGGACTGAGCAGCAGCAGTAGCAGCAGTGATGGATCTGACCCAGCCATTCGGTCAGTGGTTTAGAATTCTGTTGTAGAATTTATGCTTGTGTTTTAAGAATGCAAGAGTGTTTTAGTCTTTAACCATATATTTTGGATAATGATTGATGATGCTAATTATTGTATAAAATAGTTAATATAATGGAAAGATACTGATGCACTGTTTTGACTTCAGTGGTCATTAGTTTTTCCGCATTCTGTCTTGTGAATTTTATCTGACTGTAACATACTACTTTGTATCTCATCATCATACTCATTGAAGAGATGCCTTGAGGCTGGTAAAGGTTTCTGGATCCAAGAAATTGGAGCTTTCTTCACATTCCTGTGATCAAACCTGATTAGCCCCCACCCCTAACATTGCCCTAGCCATGTGCAACACTTGAGGGTTAAGCACCTCCACATGAATTAAATCATTTTTACTATAGGATTTAAATTTTTACTTCAAAATTACATGCATTAGGGCAAATAACAAAAGATTAGTTCTTTGCTGAAGACCAAGGAAACTTAGATGTTTTGGGAAAAATGTTACAAAAGTCATTTCTTCCCCATGTTTCTTTATTTTGTAATACCACTTGGTAGGTTTATGCCAGTTGTAAACTTCATGTCATCATTTATAAAAAAAAATTTAAAATTTGTTTTTGCCATTTGTAACTTTCACTGTTTCTTGTAGTAATATTCCAGCTTTACAGAGGTGCCCCCTTTTATGTGCATTGGTATATGCTTCATTTCCCCATACAGCCATGTAATACTGTAACAGCATTACTCACATGGCAGAAAATCTTATTTGTGAAACACTTTATATATTTTGAAGGTCTTGTTCTTATGACTCCAATATTTGAAAGCATTAAATTCATCAGTAGAAATTTATGCCTAATGTCAAGATTTTTTTTAAAACACTATATCTCTATACAAGAGGTTAGGTTAGGTAAGGTTTGTCAGGAAACAGGACAAATGTTTCCTGATGCGGGTCTTAGTCAGATGATGACCCACCTTTGGAGCTTTGGTCATCTGACTGAGGCCTTCCGCTGGCTTACCGGTCCACCCCTTTAAAAATAATGGTCATTTTAACCAGTTGTAAACAAGAGGTAGTAGTACCACCCAAGGAGGTACTACTGTCCTGTCATGTGAGTGTAAAACAGAAGCCTGTAATTGTTTTACATGATGGTAGGTTTGCTGGTGTCTTTTTTTTGTCTCATAAACATGCAAGATTTCAGGTATGTCTTGCTACTTCTACTTACACTTAGGTCACATTACACATGCATGTTCAAGCATATATACATACTCCTCTTGGTTTTCTTCTATCTTACTACAGCTCTTGTTCTTGTTTATTTCTGTTTATCTCCATGGGGAAGTGGAACAGAATTCTTCCTCCATAAGCCATGCATATCGTAAGAGGAGACTAAAATGCTGGGAGCAAGGGGCTAGCAACCCCCTTCTCCTGTAAATACGTATTACTAAATTTAAAAGAAACTTTCGTTTTTCCTTTTGGGCCACCCTGCCTGGGTGGGATACAGCTGGTATGTTTAAGAAAAAGATCTCTACACAAATAACCCATATTGTATTAGTCACAAATTTCTGCACCTCAACCTTTTTCATCTCTTTTATATCATTTGTATACATTAATTCTTAATCTTTTTCCTAATTACTTTTCACTGCCTTAATAAGAACATAACATTAACTAAGAAATGGTACAGTAAGTCTACTGGCCCATGCAAGGCAGGTTGCTGTTCACACCTACTCATTTCAACTCATACTTTTTTTTAATAGGAGCTTCCATTTTTGCAGCTGATCTAATGCATTCTTTATGTGTACTCTGTGTTCCTAAACTACCTTTAAGCTCTATGCATTGTATGCTCATTATTATTATTTTAATCAAAACTAAGTGCTAAACCCACCAGGGTGTATGCTCATAAGCTATCTTTAAGCTGTGTTGTACATTCACAAGGTATTTTTAAGTTCCATGTGTCAAAAATTCACAAGGCTCACAAGCCACCACTAAACACCTCTATTTGTAGGTTCCTGGCAACCAACAAGATATGGATCATCATTGGGGTGGTTGTAGCACTGGTGCTGATTGCTCTCATGCAGGCTATTGTCATGATCGTCAGGAGTAGGAAGAACAAAACTCCTCCTGTTAGCACTAAGGTAAGGAACAAAAAGCAAATGTATTTTTGTTCTACTGATCTTTAGAAGGGTTCTTGCCTTAATGGAAGTTAAAAAGTTTTTTACAGTTATTTGAAGGATGAAAAATAAAATAAAAAATAGTAGCCAATAAGGATGGAGAAATGAATTATGAACTTTGTAATTCAAAAATGCTGCAAAATTATCAGAGGCATAAGGAAAATGTTAAAATATAATATAGGCTTGAAGTGTGATAAGTTTTGTTTGGAAGAATTATACAGCTACTACTGTTGTATGCTTGTAAACAAGTTTTCATTAGAAAATTACCAAAGTTAAAATGGATTTTTGGATTTAAAAGATAGTAAGATATACACAAACATTGTATTGTGTGGAATATGAAAGGGATGTATAAATAAGACATTCCCAGTATAGACATATATAAAAGTGTATTACTTATTAAGTCTATCAGATGTGCAGAATGCAAATGTTGTGTCCATGGAGGAATATGTAGAATGTGTGGGTTGTACAAGAGAGAATATGAGGGCCTACCAATTGTCTGTTAGCACAGAACTTTTGGAATATAAATGGATAGGTAAACCGTTGTATATAAGTATTGTAGTAGATTGGAAGGATATTTAAAAACTTAATTTAAGTTTGATTGTCCGTACTTATTTTAGTATTAATGTAATCCGTTTATATTTCATCCATTAAGGTAAATGCTATGCGAATGTTATGCTCAGTTACATAATTTCATACATTTGCCTTGTGTGCCCTTTAGTACAGAATATATTTCATAGTTCTTGAAGTGTTTCAAAAGACAAGTCAGACTTCACAAATCATGTGTGTAATAATATTGCTGGCATTCAGAGAAGGATGGCAAGTGCACTCTATCCCAAACATTTTGGGATATTGTATGTATACAAGTGTTATAAAGAGCTAACACTATTTCCTTACGGGATTTGTTGAAGAAATCTGCTCATAATTTTTTAGTGTATGTCTGTAAGCTGGGTGTGTGCATATAGGTTTGTATGCAAGATTATTATTATTATAATCAAAAAGAAGCGCTAAGCCACAAGGGCTATACAGCTTGTACGCAAGAGCATGTACATACACACATGTATGCATGTGTGGATTAGTTTATTGGTTTTTAGTTTTTATATATTAGTTTATTCTGTCTTTAAATATTTTTTTTAGCTGTGTATGTTTGTGTGAATATATCAGTGGAATTGCCAGCTTGTCTCAGTTTCTCTCTCTGCCAGACTTTTGTTTCCTTAGCCCAATGCATGAGATAGTGTACTGAACATTGTATATTTTCTTCAAGTAAGCTTTAGTTTCTCTCCAATTAAAGAATGATGTTTGTTGAGATTGTCCACTTCTGTAATTAGTTACACACTGTATGCATATTTAAGAGAGCTTATATTATTTATTTTATTATATACTGTATCTTATATGTATTTTCACAATAATTAATCATATTTTTAAATGCATAAAGTATAACAGATCTGTAACACTGCTGAGTATGCTGCTTCATTTCCAGTTGTTGGCACATTCAACATTGTGTGAGGAGACAGAATTCCATTGAACCGGTGTTGAAAGTTCCACATACTGTGATGGGTAGGACACAACACATTTCATACTACTAGCTTATAACATGGGTGAAGCTCAAAAAGTGTAATTGAATGTCTTTTAAAAGTGCATGTGTTCAGGTGAGGAATTCAAGGATGCTGTAGATAGCTATCCATCAGAATAACTAACAACTCACTCTTGGAAACTTCAACTTTATAAAACCCTATGCCTGAAGTAGACCTGTCACAGCTAATTTATCTTGTACTGTGTACTGTACTAACCAGTCTCCTCTCTCCCTTACCTGCTTACCTGTCCTTGGTCCCTGTTGGCCTTCGTTCTTCTGGGCTTGGTACCATGTAGATTGGACCACCACCTGCGGCTGCAATGGGGGCTCCTGCTGTGGCTGGTAATGGTTTTCGCAATGGCAGTCAAGTGGGCTTGGTGACGGCACTTGAGCCTCCACCAATGTATCCCGCAGTGCCACTCACACCAAAGAGTGCATTGCATTCATCTGCTACACTGTCTTATCATTCAGCTTCTTCCAGTCCAGTAAAGACAGGCACTCCACTGAGTACTGAGAACCCTGGCTATGTCCCTGATTAAGCATCACTTGTGTATACTAGTTCTGAATGAATCATGACTAAGGTGGTGGGTGAAACAGATTGTATCTAATTCTTAAATTAACATTATAAAAGTTTTAGAACTTTTAATAGTTGTTCTGAATTATGGGTTAAAGTAACATTTATTTCTGTTACTGGCACACTTTCCTAAATTATGTAAGAGCAGTATACACTTAATTAAAAACCAAATTTGTAAGTCCTTGTTCAAATTTGTAAGTCTTTGTTCTCAGCTCTGACAAGTACATATTTCTTACTAGGAGCGTTTAATCACCAACTCAGGCTGGAAGGACTATAGCCAAGGCAACATGAATTATGCCTATGAGAGTTTTGAGACTGAGGAAAATGGAGTGAATTCTCGTCGTCAGGGAAGCAATGGCTCTGCAAGGCCTAGTGTTCCTCGTGGCTCATATGGTAAATCTAATGGCCAGAGTAATGGATATCATGGAGGAACAAATGGTCATCCAGGACATCTTGGCCAGCACCCAGGAGGATATGGTGGGGATACACGATCACTTCAAAGACCACGCAATGTCCCTCAAACACGTCCTGACCCCACTGGAACTTAATCACTTCCACGAGGCTCAACAGCCTTCTTTCCTTCTCTACCTACCCTCTACAATGCTGTCCATGCAAGAAATGACTTCCAGATTTCTACAACCATTCCATCTCAACGTAAATATTCAGGAGAGGTTGTCCGTGTTTATGTTGATTATAACCAGTCAAAATAAGTAGGTGAATTTTATCATTGGTATATAAAATTGCTGAATATTCAAAAAATTAAAATGCGCTAAATAAGGTCATGTTTTATAAAAAAAAATTATAATAAAAAACAAAAATACCACAATAGCGTATATTTACAGTAATCTTGCATTACAACAGGTGGTCAAGTTAGTTGGATACGTTTTGTGGAGTTAGAGTCCATGTGGTATGCTCACCTTCTTCGTAGTGAGTGTCCCCAAATTGCCTTTTCCACTGCAGAACATGTCATCATCCCCTTCCATGAGAACAATTATACCATGTTTACTCTATATATTTTTACTGTGATATGGTGTAGTGGCTTGCCTACAAATACAGTTCTAGTACGTTTGTAAATGATGTGCAACATCTTCAATTCAGAAGTTTTCTAAATAACCTTTTAAATGAGGCATGCAAATGTGTCCATTATTACATTAATATTTAATACCATGAAAGATTTTTAGCCATCTAGAATTGCAAAAATGTGAAAAATCAGAAACTGTAAACATATTTTTAACTTGAGAAATACTAATAGAACATCCAGTGCTGATTTCCATGAACTATTAAACATTGTATATTATCTTCGACATAATTTTTTGAAGTTTATGTTTAAATATTAAGTTTCATTGAGACTGCAGTTTTGTATGTTTCTTTTTAATATATACAGTACTTTATGTTCTCCATACGCAGCTGCTGAGAATACTTGTTATTGAAACAATGTTTCTACCTGACATTACATGGGAAACAACACGCACTGACCAATTTAAGATCAGCACTTTTTCACTATAATGGCATAATAAAGTGGTATATACCCTGACAGTTATTACTTTTCAGAAGACTTCAAACCAAATAACATGAAATATTCTTGAGTCAATTCCTGATTACACTAGCCAACAAAAATTTAAATTTTTATTCCAGTTCCAGAAATCAAATGTTGGATTTAAGTTAAATTTTATGAGCAGATCATGAATCTTGACTTGTTTATTCTTTCACAAGGTTTTTAAACTCTTATATAAATAATTAAGGCTGTTACCTAACATCATAGACATTTTCAAAGAATAGACACTGGTGAGTCATGCAATGCCAAAAACTAATCCTTCATAATGTAAATGTATATATTATGCCATATACTAATATTCATGCATGAAATGCACACAAAAAAAATACCATCATACAAACATGTTTAAAAGCACATCACAGTTTTTCATTGTTTGCTGTCCATCATAGTTGTCCAATAAACTTAGTCTGGATTTCCTATATCTGCTTTATTCATAATGGTTGTATATTCCTGGTGGAAATCTTTCACAGCAGGCACTGTTTAACCAAACTGTGTGTTTGTCCCAAAATGTAATTATACATTTTTAAATGTGAACTGAAATGTGAAGGCCTGTGTTAAATAGAAATGCAAGAATAAATAAGATTTGGTAGTGAATGTAGAAATTCAATAGTCGAGATATTTCTTACATAATCTGGTAAGAAAATTTTTTTGTTGTATATGTATTCTAAGAGATTGAAAATAAAACTGCTCTAGAGATTAGATAGTGTCTGTGGAATAAATATTTCATTGGTTAGTTCATGTATAAGAAAAAAAAATAATGTAATAGGAGGTGGTATGTCAAAGTGCTCTTGGTGGATAGGACGATTTAAATTGAAAAACATGAGCCTAATATAACCTATATTTTAATGTTTTAATTGGTAATATATATAATGATACAATTTTTTTTTTTTTTTTTTTCCAGAAAGCTAGTTGTGCCATTCACTGAATTCTCCAAAGATAACACACAAAGTGTAACTTCTGTAATCAATTTTAAAATGAGGTGTAAAATAAGGGGTCATGAAAGGAATAAAAAAGTGTATTCTATATAAATTAAGCACATTCTATGTATATAGTTTTGATAAATTATGACCCTTACACAGTATTACAGTGTGTAAATATAATAGACATTATTATTGTACCTAAGTTGATTTTTAAGTATGAAAAGATGTAATAAAAAGTGCTAGCACCATCTTCAGGATTGTATTTACATTTCTGAAAAGACCAAGTATAAAGTACTACTTGTGGAGTCTTGTATTGTACTTTATATATTTTATAGTAAAAGAGGACATGTGTTACTCAAAACTTGAAGCAAGTTTTGAGTAAATACTAATTTAACTTAGTTACCTGTCAACTGATCATGGTTGCTGCATGGCACAGCCACACATGCTGTGCTACTTGTATCACAGCCACACATTGGGTGATGCTTGTATTAAATTCATACTTTGGGTGCTGATTTTATTATAGCCACATGTTGGGCACCTGCTTGACTCGAGCCACTCGTTAGGCTACACTGGCACTAAATGCTGTGAAAAGGAAAAGATGTAATGCATATTTCAAGTTAAATTATACATTTACTACATACATGAAATGACCTCACAAACTATTGAGCAATTTATTGATTCTAGTTATACTGTAATCCTGGTAGTTCTTGTACGGCAACAGTGTCCATCAAAACACTGTGCTGTGTTTAAGTGCTAAAATGCTGCTTGAAAATAGTGAATGCATTAGAGAGGAGTATTGTATCTATTACATTGATGAAAAAACTGTCCTGCTTTTCAAATAAGGATTTTTCACAGCAATTCATAATGGCCATCTTATTGTACAATCAAGAGGTAACCATATCTAGATGTATATTTCTTTAATAGATAATTTATATGATACTCGAGATTTCAGTAATGTGTAAATATTGCACAAAACTTGCACACTGCCTCTGCTAATGTGGTCCAACTGTTTATATCACTAATATTTTCATTAAAATAAATGTATATATTTTTGTATGAGGTTAACAGTTAAGAGCTAAAGGAATTCTTTTTTATCAAATAGCCATCTGTCTTTGTCTTGATATATACCTGTACGTATAGACATTTCTTTTATATAATTGAATTTTTATATTTTTAGTTGTTTTTGTATTTGACAAATTCTTTGGATTAGTAACAAAATTCTCAAAATGTGTGTTGCAGAGACAAAATACAAAAGCCAGTCTAAAAATGCCATAAAATTACTGTAAATTAGGTTAAAGAAATGATAAGTGCAATAATTTGTCTTGAAGGCAGAAAATGCTTAATCCTTTGTGGCTTGTGTTCATCTACAATACACAAAAAAGCACATACAGGCAGCCCTAAGTTATGAACATAAGTTAAAGACATCCACACTTACAAACAAATCACTTGGTAACCAATTACATTTCTACAACTTCTGATACAAATTATGAGCATGTGATTTATACTTTAGTACAAACATGTGTGATACACAGTATAAACGTGTATGAAAAATAACTATTCTTTGTATTTCAAAATTGTTTTCTGTTAAAGATAAGATTTTGTTCGGATTTTTAACCCCGGAGGGTTAGCCACCCGGGATAACCCAAGAAAGTCAGTGTGTCATCGAGGACTGTCTAACTTATTTCCATTGGGATCCTTAATCTTGTCCCCCAGGATGCGACCCACACCAGTCGACTAACACCCAGGTACCTATTTGCTGCTAGGTGAACAGGACAACAGGTGTAAGGAAACGTGTCGAAATGTTTCCACCCGCCGAGAATCGAACCCGGGCCCTCCGTGTGTGAAGCGGGAGCTTTAGCCACCAGGCCACCGGGCCTGGTGGCTTTCTAATTTTGTGTTTTTGTAGGTGTAGATACCACACTACAGCCACATATTTCAATTTAGGTTTAAGACAGAAATTTGCCATCTATATAATTAAATTTAAATTTATTAGCTTTGAAGATTCTTGCAATAATGCAAATAAGTACTAATTGGAGCTACCTTCTTCATCCTCGGATCAAACCCAATTCCTCCCCTTCCACTACCTCTCCCATTTCCCTGGTGCTGTATGATTTATGATTTTGGCACTATCCCCATGAATATAATAGTGCATTATAAACAGTTTTCTAGAGATACTAGAATTTGCTTCCATATCCTCCAGATCATTCATGTGATTACTTTTGTGAATACAAAGATAGGTAGTCTTTGGTTTATAGGTGAAGTACCATTATTGAGTTTATTTTAATCCTTAAACTGTCCAAATGTAGATCTACGTTTACGTGCGTAGAGCTTCGACCTTGATTTTCTCCATTTGAAAGCATGTAAAAACAAACGTAGATCTACGTTTGGACAGTTTAAGGGTTAAATTGAGTTGAAAATTAAGAGATTCTTTCTGTAATGCATTTTTTTTTTGGGGGGGGGGGGGGTTGACTACATTATTGGTAAGTTTTCTATTAGGGATATGTTAACTTTTAATTGAAATAGCAACTGTAAAAATTATTACCTTTGCTTTCAGTAAAAAATAAAAATACAATGCATTATCAGATACTGGAAATAAAAAAAAAAAAAATCTTACAATTAGAGAGCTGCCTGGAATTAAAGAGCTTGGAATCAGAGATAGGCTGCATGGAAGTCAAGAAATATGCCTGGAATTAGAGAACAGTACCTGGAGTCACAAAGGGTTAAGCACTGTCATTACTTTCCAACTCATTGTATATCACTTATTTCTCAGGATGTTGCTAAATTTGTATGTTACATATAAATATATATTTTGTGAGTGCATGCGTGTATGTGTGTGTGTGCATGTGTATTACCAGTGCTCTGTTCAACATCATTGCATTATATCATGTACAGTACTAAAGTATTAATAAATATAATGTGTAGAATATTTTTAATGCCCTTATGAGCTTGTTATAATAAATGTTAAAGAAAAAAATTTACAATTTTGTAACTGGAAATTGATCTCATGTATCAGTATTATTTCCTACAAAGATGGGTCGAAGGCAGTGATGTGCACAAATGGGATACAGGAATAAAGGGGATACACATAATAT